TAAGGTAGGCAGGAAGGAAACATTCTGGTGTTGTTTCTAGCCTCATCTTTATTGACCTGCTTATAGAAATTGCCTCTCCGGTTAACTCTTATTACATTGTAACAACTAAGGCGAAGCGCCCATCGACCTAAGTGACCTTGAGTTGGCCAAGCCCACCTAGTCACATGACCACCAAGCCCCATCTACCCAGATAGTCATTAGGGCAGAGAACCGGTTATTAAATTATTTGAATCCCACCACTGATGCTGGCTCATTTAGGAAAGAAACCTAGTTAAGTAAATCAAGCACAATGGGTACATTCAACCCAGGACTTTATATAGACTTTAAGATAGCTCAATTGAGAAGACCAAGCTCCAGATCTTAAAAAGAGCAATTGTACGCATACTTTATTTTCTCATTAGGGAAGATGTCGACAGAAATAAGCTATGACAGCTTGCCTGGCTTTGATGAGGCCTTCGACACCTTCAGGAAAAATGTGACTGCAAAACAGGCAGCGCAGGATAAGGAATATGCAAGGCTGGCAGGAGTTATTTGGATGTCATTCTTCCTTCCTCTGACCAGGAGGGCTACAATGACTCCTAATTTGAGAGCTGGCTGTGCATTCCCCCTTAGAAACAGAGGGGGGGGGATGAGTGTTTTTCTTTTTTCACTGCAAGAAGCAAGACCTTCTATTTTCTGATGTGGAAATCAAAAACAAAACCTACCAGGCAAAATTTTGGATTCTGTTTTGAGACAGTTCGGCTAGTGCTTAGTGAAATCCCTGCCTTATCTCTGCCAAGATAAGCTTTTAGTAGATGACACAATATACAGTACGAGAAGCAAGAAAGCGACGAGCAGAGAGACTTGCTGCCATTCCAGGAGATCTTTGTTTATTGCTTCCTCCATACAGAGGTGGTATTCTGCCGGTTCTTTCCGGCTCGGGCAAAACAATAGCGCTAGCTACGGAAGGCTCCGCCCACTTGCCCTGACATAATACATGAGCACTGCACATGTGTTGAAGGCGGTGTGCATGCACAGACAAGGCGTGTATGCTCACATTTGTGAACTGGTAGGGAAGATAAGTGAATCCCACCGCTGCCTCCATAGGTTAGAAACTGAAGAAATCAGAAATGAGAATTTTATTTTGCAATTCAATCTAGAATAGAAAGTTGGGGCAGCTCTTAAGATCATGTGTGCGCTCTTTATTAACTCTGGCATTCAACTTTTCTCTTCCCAATTAAATGATATTCAGGGTCATGTGGTTATTTGGAGATCATTCATAGCCTGAGTACATCAATTGCTCTTATAGGTATTGAATTGAATATTAATGAGCGTACACAGACAAGGGTGCATATTATTTTCTTAAGCATTAACAAAAATACATTAAACTTTGCACCACAATGAAATTCAGAGGGTCAAGTTTTCTAATTTTTATTATGGGTGTTCTGCATTCTTTCCAATTCTTTTAGGATAAAATTTAACTGAACTAAAAAAAAATCCACCTATCTGCTGTGACAACGAAATGCTTGCTTATGGGCTGCTCAATCCATCATTGCTTATCATTTTAATGAATGCAAAATATACTTCTTAATAGTTTCATTACTCACAGCTAAAATAAAGGGGGGGTGTTTTTTAAACATGTAATGATCGCAAGCAGCCACAAGATGGTGATGACTAACTTTGGAACCTAATTCCATTGAAGAAAATTTTCAGAGCACAAGAAATAAAACTTGACAAAATTAATGTTGAGCCATTTTAGTGAAGGAGCAAGGACAGTAATACCCATCCGCAAATTTGTTAAAGATTTTATTATTTTATTTTAAATAAAATAATAAAATTTTCATAATTTTATTAGTTATTGTCTAGGGCTGGGCTACAAGCCCAAATTAACAACAAAAGCTTTCTAAATGAACACACACCAAATCTTAAGAAGTATACTAAGTATTGGGTAATGTAAACAAGAGGTTTCTTTGGGCAATAATGGACATATTTTGAATGTATTTAAAACAGATAAATCCTCACCCATAGTAAAACCCATCTATAAATGCAAAAAGTAGTATTTTGGTCAGGTAGGCTAGAGTAATTGTTTTGCTGAATCATTTTGTGCTTTTTAAAAAAGCTTGCTTTTAACCATTTACAATGTGGAATTTTGAAGTAGAAAGTCCCATAAATCAACAAACCAGCTATCATCTTCCTACAAGTTAATTCATTATTTTATTAATCCACATATATTACTACATGTGTGACCCATTTGTTCTCCAAAAGTTTCTATCATCCCTTGATTTGCATCCATGTTGCCAGTTTTAACTTCAGAATCAGAAATCTATCGTGGGCCTATACATATGTGAGTCACATAGAAGCAGCAGTCCATGTGTTGGTAGCCAGAAACTAAGGTTTTGTATTACAGAAATGATTCTTGAGAGTGTCATCTGTTTTTCTTTTCTCCTTCCACAGACAAAATGTCTAATCTAAAAAAAAAAATCCTTTAAGTTTCCAAAATTGTTTTCTGTCACGTAACATACAGTATATGTATGTATATATATGTACTATATGGTATAACGGCTGTATTCACACACCCTGTTACAACATAATGTGGTTTGTTTGGTTTGGCTTGATTGCATGGGAATTTCAAGATAGAAGAAATTTGGCTCCCAGATACCTCATGTTCTTATTTCCACTCTTAAATCCCCTCTCCCAAAACAGGTTAAATTTGGTCTAAGACTTTAGGAGGGGACTGTTACAGGGGAGTTATAGGTGGGAATGTGAGCAGAAAGTTCACAGCCCACTGTTAATCTTGAGGGTCCTCTCACCCCAGAAAAACTAGGGCACGGAAATGTGGTCACATTTCTGCCATATTTTGGTAAGCCAATATTTTGCAGAAATGGGTGCTACCCATTGGCAAGATGGCCATCGTTGTCTTAGGTTAAGCTTTGTTTGCAAATAAACTTGTGGATTATTTAATAAACCATTATTTAAAAAGCCACTGTTTAGCACAAACAAACCCTGATTGGCAGATTCACATGTTGCACTAAGCCATTTTCACTTAACACATTGTGTGAACCTGGAGATTACAGGCTATTAAAATCATAGTTTGAGCAAACTATGACAGTATAATGTGTGGACCCAGCCACAGTATAACTGCAGTTGGCAGATTTAATGTTAATATACCTAGTAATGCAAAATAAAAGATTTTCCAATCTTCATTATTATTCATATACGTTAAAAGAAAAGAACGTGAGCTTGAATCTCAATCACATTATTCTAAAGCATAATTCAGAATTATTTTTTAACCAGGCAATTCCTTCAATTCTTCTATCCATATACAAACATATTTAAGGCATAATATCTTTAGTCTAAAAAGACTGCTTATATCCAAAATCATTTACCAATTTTGTTACAACAGTTGATCAGAGACATGTACTACATATTTCAAAAACTGTTTCATTAAAAAGAAATCAAGAGTCTATATTTGGAAAACTATTTCTTGATTTCAAAGAACTACATTTCAAGTAAAAAAAGAAAAGAAACATATCAAATATTTTGAAAATGCAAAAGACAATCCTTTTCAAAATGCAAAAGACAAAAGTTTTGATTTTCTGGAGTTTTTCATGTTACTCTTGGCTTTTCAACTTTCAGTCTCCAAGTGTCACCATTTTTTTTCTTCCAAAGATTCAAATGAGATGAAATTATATGTTAATATATAATGTTCCATATCAATTTTGCTTCTAATAATTTTTCATGGTTGACGCTCCAGAAATCTCTCCATTTTCAAACTATTATATGTCCAATTTCAACTGATTTTAGAGAAAGAATCCTGTGGCAGCCTCTTTTTTTTAATGAAGGATTTAATACTAATTTGTTCTTTATTGGATGTACATTTAAGAATCGGTCTCCATGATGAGTATCAGCACAACTGAACAAATTAGAATAAGAAAAAGTAATTTTCGATCGAAATGCTATTTGCGTTCATCATTTAATCTGGCGTACATCTTGGTACTGAAAAACTTGTCTTCACTGGGGGAATAAGATGCATCTTTGATCACTCCTGAGAAGGAAGAGTCCACCACTGGATGAAAAGGAAAAGCAGGAAACAAGCCAGTCCTCAGGTATGGTGCCATCAATCCAGGTAAAGCTCTTCCTGGGGGAGAATAAGTCACTCTTAGAGGTCCAATTCCCAGTCTAGGGCTTAAGCCATAAAAATTCATCTCTCTCCTGGAAGAGGCCGAGCTGGTTTGAAGAGGAACAAATGCTGATTTATTGCCAAGCGCTGCTGCAACATCTACTCCGAGGCCAAAATCAGAAGGTCTCTGGAAAGCACTGCATTCGGGCAAGACTGGGATTGCAAGCTCTCGGAATCCTGGCCTGTGTTCGCTGGCATTCAGGATCTGCTCTATAGCTTGGACTATGTCTCCTCTGCAGAGCTGCAGAACCCTTTCCAACCTGCTTGGTTTGTGATTAGGAAAGACCTTGGTAAGAATATTAAGGGGGTCTCTGCGCTTTAAGGCACTGTCAGCAACAGAAGCAGTAGCAGCAGCAGGAGGGATGCTGGCATCACAGGGAACAAAATCCTTGGGACACTCGCTTTCGTTTCCAGATTCCATGTCCGACGAAGACAAAGAGGCTGGGCTGTCAGTTCCTTCTAAAGATTCATCAGTACCCGATAAAGCTATCTCTTTATTTAAAGTCTGCGTCTCGGATGGCTTCTCTTGATTACTTCCAGCAGCTTCAGAAGATGTCAGGGAGGGTGTAAGCAAATGGACTACAGAAGTGCCCGATTCACTGCAGTAGAAGTCATACTTCTGAATCTTCTCTTCTAATGGGGGAAAAAATGCAACCAAATACTCAATTTATTACAATATATCTGATTCATCTACTGCTTTCTCATATAAACACCCTAAGGCCTCTAGGCATTACCAGTTATGGAATCACATCGTCTATTCAATATTATATGTACACAATTCAGTATCTTTAAAAACTCTTCTTTTCACTGCACATACCTCCTTGTTACCGCAAGTGCACAAGTCACAGGTTGCTATGTGCATGGCATACAATGTATATATCCCATTTTTTGGCACCTATTATGAAATATCCAAGAAGGATTGTTTACATGTACAGAGTGTGAAACAAAACAATGCACTTACTGCAAAAAGTAAAAACACTACAGCAGTACAACATGGAAATCATAAAATGGAAGCAATATATCTACACAGGATATGTGAAGTCGCTCCCAAGTGCTTAAAATCTACAAACTGTATCTGAAAGTAAATTGTCACAATGGGATAATGTGCTTTTGTCATCCATAAAGAAGAAAATAATGTTTCCATGCTTTTTCCATACAACTTGTTCTTCTGCCTACATAGATTTCCTACAACACAAGCTGATTTGCAGAAAGACCATTTAAATTAATGAGAGCACTAAAAGAAAACTATAATATCCATTACCTTTTAACAGAGCTTTTCCAAGATAATTTCTTGGTGCTTTGTATCTTTACATACTACAATTGCCCATACGAAGGCCAGCTCATAGATTTAGTTCATTTGCCTTGGAACAAGCAACATATTCTGTTTTGTTAGTATACATGCAGTGTCAAATGCTTGCAACATTAATAATACCTTTGTATAATTTTTAGAATTATAATGTTATAAAACTATTTTTCCAAGCATTCATATTTTCCATAAAATATAAGCAAATGGCCAACCTGCACCCAAGATTAAAAATGCAACTTCTCCAATAATCCATGCTATGGAACATGATGAAAAGCCACAATCTTAACACATTCTGGGAAGTGCCAGAATGTGGATGTGTTTGAGATGGAAGAAGAGCTATAATGCTATTAAAAATAGTTTTTAACATTTTGAGCCTAAAAAGAGAGTTCATATTCTTTCTAATATAAATTATTGTGCCAACCCAAGACCATTTAGATGAATGCATCTTACAGAGATCAATGGATTCTATCTACGGTATAGTTCATTTCAATTCCAGCAATACAGAGTTGAGCTGTGGTTCTTTTTCCTTCCTTCCTTCCTTCCTTCCTTCCTTCCTTCCTTCCTTCCTTCCTTCCTTCCTTCCTTCCTTCCTTCCTCCCTCCCTTCCTTTATAACCACAGGAAAGGCAGATTCCTACTTTACAATCTATTACATCAAGCAAAATGATTACTAGTTTACTAAGGTGTTTCTTCACTAAGACTAAATAACAATTAATTAAGTAATGGATAATCTTCATAATCCAAAAAAGATTTGAGCTGCACACTATAACTCACATTAAATACTAACTGATAGCTATTATTTCCCTTGAAGGTCACTAAAAACAAAAGAAAAAAGAAAATTCTATCAGTCCTATCACAAATTGCTATCAAAACACATTATTGCACAAGCTGCACACACTTCAAAGATACCATCCCCATCATTCTCCGTGATCTCCCTCTGATCTCTGAAGAAACCTAAAACTGAAAACTTGGGGGGGAAAGAACTAGTGATTCTCCTTTCCCCACAAGAGATGCTTAATTATATTTGCCAAAATCCTCGATTATTCACCGTTCAGACATAAGCTCTTGCGAACCAGGCTGACTGAAACGCCACTAATTTCTCACCTCTGACTTAAAGCCCTTTAAGGTGGAATCAGCCGCGGTTGATTGAGTTCGGGGGATTTTCTTTCTGCCCGCTCCCCACCACTTTTTATGGAAATTTAACCCCAAACATCGAGGGAAATCCCACCTCTTCGCGCGCGCTGGAACACCGGGCAGAAACTCTTAGCAGCAGGCTCGCTTTCAACGCCGGCGTTGCCGGCCGCCTGGCTCCCGGGGCTCAGGCGGACCGCAACAGGCGTCCGCTTTTGCTGCTGGTTGGGGTGAGTTTCGCCGCCGCCGCCGCCGGCCCGCGCGTCGATCTCCTCCTGCGCTTGCTGCCTGCGCAACGCCACCTGGGCGGCCATCACGCGTTGCCGCTCCGCTATGAGCGAGCACTTGGCGCAACCACAGTCCCGCCAGCGGCAGAAGCGCTTGTGGCCCTTCAGCGCCGACACCACGCCGTGGTTGCGGCAGCGGGCGCACTTCGGCGTGCGCGGATAACACACGCCGCGCTCCAACCCCACCGCCGCCTGCGCGTAGCAGCTGGAGGGATTGCCTGCGGTGGCGGCGGCTGCTGCCGCCGCTGCAGCCGCGGCGGCCGCGGCGCGCACGAAGAAGCTAGGAGGGCGAAGGAAGGTGGGCGGCATGGGCACCCCCGCCGCTGCCGAAGGTGCTCTGGGCACCGAAACGGGCAGCCCTGGTGGGGGCAGGAGAGGCGGGTTGCTCGTCGCCATGAGTCCGTGAATCGGGAGCAGCGCACGGTAGTTCCTCCGAAGGCGCGAGTGCGATTCGCTTTTGCGCGAGTGTGATCGGGCGCTGGCCCCCCGCAGACCCCGAGAGAGTGGCTGGCGGGGTGTCCGCCCACTTGAGAGCAGGGAGCCGCCCACCAAGACCGAAGGGACGGGGGAATCTAACTCTCTGGCCGACTTGGAAGTGTCTCTGTGGAGATTCTCAGTCGTCCAGCAGGTCATGGTTGCCCCAAAAGTGCTTTTTTTCCCCCCAAAAGGCAACTGGACTCTCTTTGTTTTGTCTTTGAAGAGGTTTGGCTTCTCATCCAAGAAGAACTGGACTCTCTTTGTTTTGTCTTTGAAGAGGTTTGGCTTCTCATCCAAGAAGAACTGGACTCTCTTT